CAGTAAGTTAAGTTTCACTTGTTTTAGTTACTATATCATTTAAAAGTGTTTGTATATTGTGTTAATATTCATTGTTGAATAAATGTTTTGATTTAAAATTGGCATTTAGGTGAGTAGGGCAAGCAGATATGTAAGTTTTGTTGATTCCTATATTTTCAAGTGTATAAATTATTAAGACACCATTATAAATATATTATAACGTGAAACAAGTGTATTTTAAAATTAATAAATATTTCTTCAATCTCCAACAACTTTACTTTATTTCCTTTATCTTTAGCAAACCTTACTTCAATAATTGGAAAAAGATTTTTTCTGTATATAAAACATATATTAACTGCATATATATATATATATATATATATATATATATATATATATATATATATATATATATATATATATATATATATATATATATATATATATATATATATATATATATATATATATATATATGTATATATATATATATATATATATATATATATATATATATATATATATATATATATATATATAGAAGGAGACTTGAATAGAGTTTATTATAAAGTTTCACGCAAAACATAACTCCTGTTTATTAAATCTCCTTGCTAGTAATTTTATTGTTATTTTTCGTTTAAGATTTATGACCATAAGAAGTTTAGAATTTCACAAATTTACCCCCTGAAATAACTTTGAATGGTCGTAACTTTTACCTTAGAAATTTATTTATGATGAGGTTTAAAATTTGTCGATAAATTTTGATCTAGTTTAATATAACACAAAGAATAAATTTGAAAATTTTCTTTAGAGGACCATACACTAGGGGTGGGGTATTAAAGGTTCAGTAGGGTTAGCTTCAATTACTTTATCATCGTAAAAAAAAAAAAAATTTGCTCTATGTGGTTAGATTATTGTATATATTTGCATGTCATATATCATTATATCATATATCAAGAAATTATGTTAAACAATTGTTCATTAGAAGTTAGTATTATACTTATTACAAGCTACCTGCAAATTTAAAGCAACTTTAAAAGTGTTTGTAGTTGTAAGCAACTACTGCATTTTTTAGCGCTTCAATGTAGTTTAAGCTGTGTTCTCCAAATTTTCTCATTCGCCAAAACTGATTGAAATCCTGGTAAATGGATTCAAGAGCTTGTTTGATCCAGTAACTTAAGCTTAAAGAATATAAAACAACTCTATTTAATGAATAACCGTTATAATTTATATAAGTTTAAACTTGCATGAAATAATAACATGTATTTAATTACTATTGTTATAATTAAAGAAAATTATTTTAATCTTTTGCCAAACTTTAAATTTATTTCTATTTTTAGTGTCTTTAAAGGAGTTGTTGCCCCTAGAATTCTATAGCTCGTAATGAACTACTCTATATGTTTGACATAAGTAGAGCTTAATGGTTTTCCAAAACAACAATGAACTACTTTTTCAAAATCTTTAAGTACTTTAATGTATTTGGATACGGGATCTCAAAGACTATACTCCTAAAAAAACAGCTCAAAGCTGTCTATATTTTTTAGCAACTTAACTCAAGCATTGCCTTCCAAACAATGCTGCCCTTGGTAGGATACTCTGCAGATGTTTATCGTAGACGGGTATCGGTTGACAAACTGTAAACCACACTACTTTTTTTCAAACAAATTTTTTTCTATTTCTTTTAAATTTTTGTTTATAACACCTAAAAGTATATGTAGACTGGGAATATTAGCTCCATCTTTTTTTTATTTTTGTCCCCTGTTAATAAAGGGAGTTGAACAACATTTGTGAACATTTCTGCACTTTTTTAATTTTGCACTGTCAGATATCCATAGGATATCTGATGATGATAAGGTAAAAAGCTTTATAATGATCAGCTTTTTAAAAGTTAGGTGATGATGTCTTTTGATGATCTTATGTTCTAACTTTTAAAAGCTTTTTGATTTTAAAGAAAGGTGCTTTGATGTTCCAACCATTTGAAGCAAAACCTTTAAATCTTCAGATACTGTGTAATCTAAAGAAGAAATGTTCAATTTATTTATATCCAAAACTATTTGCAGATTATGATATTTTTTGTTTATTAAAAACAAAATGGCCAGTATAATTGTTTTAGTACACTTGTATCTTTGAAGTCTTTGAACGCATATCCGTTACACTCAACTTATTTGGGATTTTATTATTTTCTAACTCTGGTTTTAGGGTAATTGATAGAGTAACTTAAGGAATCCCTGCCCAATATTTTAATCTTAATTTTTAATTTCTATAAATTTCTTTATTTTTCTTTTTAAATTTCTTTATTTTTCTCAATTTCTTTAAATTCTTAATTTTAATCTTAATCCCATTAATATCAACATCATTTGTTTCTTGATGTCTGTGACAAAGCACCATTTGTACAGGTCAATGTCATTGCAATAAATCATAGGAGTATCTTTTTTTATTTATAAATAAAATTTTATTATATACAGTTTATAAATAAAAGTTTAAAACGAATGATACAGATTGCATTCTAGTTATTTTAAAAAATTTTAGGTAATAGATTACTTCCCTCTTTGTTTTCATTTACTCCGAACAATTATGAGAATTTATCACAATCTAATAATTTTCCAATCAGCTGGTTGCTCTCAGACATATTATTATGGAAATCAGATTCCACACTTTCAAATGTTCAACTTCAATCATATTGCAATTAATTAGAAGTCATAACAAAGTTATTTGAAAAATTGGCTTTAAATTCATAAGTAAATTATTGAAAAAAAAATTTAAGCACCAAAACCTTACCTGGAATCTAGTTTTAGTTGAAGTTTGTTCAATTTATCCAAAGAAAAGAAAGGTTCTTTAATCTCAGTCTTTCCAACAGAAACAACAAATTATTTTGAACCAAAAGTTTTCAAAGCTAAAGTGTTCCGTGATTTATTTGCGGTCAAGCCTTTAATTGAACTAGACAGAACTTTTCCTTGCGTTGTCGGGGATGTTGATCTTACAATGGTCGTCAAATTCTTTTATCTTTCTAATTTTGTACAGAGATGCGGAATTCCTTGTGACACTTGAACATAGCAATCTGGACAAATAAGTCTTTTTGCGGGTTTATTTGAAACGTCTAAGGCACCTTAATAAACAGATTTTCCCAAAACATATTCAACCATAAGGACTAATATAAAAAAATTTTTAGGTTAAAAGTTACGACCATTCAAAGTTATTTCAGGGGGTAAATTTGTGGAATTTAAAACTTCTTATGGTCATAAATCTTAAACGAAAAGAGATTTTTTGACGAAACTTGAAATCTGTCGATAACTTTTGGTCTAATTTATAATAAAACTTAAAAATTTTAATAACTTTAGGAGACGTAGTTCTTGGAAAAGGGCACTTAGGGGTCTGAACGGAGTTGGCTTCGCTCCATTAATCCTAACTTTTTGCAAGTCATCCTCAATTTTTTGCAAGTCATCCTCATTTGATACCAGTATTAACATATTAAAACTTGAGTATGCTACAAAACTCTGAGTTACCTATCTTAAACAACAAAATTACTAAGCACTCGCCTAAAATACGTGATTTTTCCCTAGGCTCCTGGTGAAAAAAGTTGTTTTTTACATTTTTAAAATAAGGAAGAGTCTTCTGATAATAAACAATAACAAAATTTCTCGGGATGTGTTGCAAGGTCTCAGAGCATGTTATTGAATGATTTTATAATTTGTTGTAGAGCTTGATTCCAATACTCTTTTTATGATCTGCTACTGATTGATAAAACGTTAATTAATTCTTCCTTTGACTTTGAGATGAAACTAGTTTTTAATCAATTATCAACGCGGAAATTGGTTTTACTTATATTTTTATTAGGTTTTACTGTTTTTATATAGGGTAGAGCGGGGTTGGTTGTGGAATTTTTACTAAATCTAACAGATTTCATGAACGGCACGTCGAACTTAAATAATTTTAAAAAATTGTGTAAATTCGCCTATTTAAAAGATACTCGGTTAAGAACAAAAATTAGTAAAGAAAAAGTATATTTTTTTGATTTGTTTAAGAAGTTATTGCTTAAAGTATACCAAGCGCTTGACCTGCCCAACAGGGTAAGCTGAGCAACTGGTCGGGCAAATTGAGCAATCCTCAAATACATGAATACGCATTATATAGAACTTGGATAAATCATCAATAAAGCTATTGTTAACAGTAAAACGTTACTATAACTTTTAAATTAAAATTTTGTACACTTTAAAGACAAAGACTTAGGAGAAGAGAATATTTTAAATAGTAAGAAAATGTCATATAAAATAAAAATAATTAAAACAATTATAAAATTATAAAAATAATTGAAACAATTTATAAGCTTAAAGCATGATTTGCAAATTACTAATTAATATATACATATATATATATGTATATATATATATATATATATATATATATATATATATATATATACATATATGTATATATATGCATATATATATATATGTATATATATATATATGTATATATATATATATATATATATATATATATATATATATATATATATATATATATATATATATATATGTATATATATATATGTATATATATATATGTGTATATATATATATATATATATATATATATATATATATATATATATATATATATATAAATATATATATATATATATATATATATATATATATATATATATTAAAAGTGAATTTCTTTATTATTAAAGTTGTTTCTTAATGTATGGTAATTTAGTTTTGTCTATCTTTTTTAAGCACTTCAACTTACCCCTGTTAAAAAAAGTGACACATTTTTTAGGTTTTAAAGAAAACAGTAAGTTTTAGGAAAAAACGGCTAATTATAAGCAAAAGTCTGGTAATTTCATAAAGTATATCAACACTTGTGTGGCAAAAATTTGTAAAACAGTAACACTTAAGTGTTAACTCATCTTTGTATAACCTAGTTAATACAAAGATGAGTTTTACATTTCCGTTTCCGAATACGTCAAAACATAGCTATTTACGTCAGTTGTAACGTAATTAAGCACTCATAAAATGCTCGTGTTAAAACTTAAAGACACATAGTTGTAGAGACAAAGACAACAATAACATTAATTTTGCTCTTATAATGTATTGCTGTATTATTGCATTGAATTGCAACAAAGTAAAGTGTTTAGAAACTTCAGTAGTGCAAAAATATTTCTTATTGATAATGGTAGGTGAAAAATTTTTTATGTAAAAGATTATTATACTTTAATACATTTTAATAAACATCAAAAAAAATAATAAAATAGTTTAAAGTTCTTGGTTTTCTAGTTCTACCATTATCTGTCATTGCTCTTTAAAAAAATTTAGTTTCGCTATAGCTTTTAACTGGGACGACGGGAGTTTTGCTGTTATTTTTTTGACCAAAACATTGCTAAAAATATAAAAGACATTTCTTTAACCTGTAGGAATGATTTAGTCATAAAAAATACAGCCAATTTTCAATGGTTTTTGTTGGATCGCATGGTTCCATTTCTTTTCTATTAATCTTGATACGCGATTGCATTGAAAGTAATTTATTATTGTACGCGTTTTTTCTTTGTCTAGTGTTAATATTTTCCATTGCGATGAAGCTTTTTTTCGTGTCAGCCGAGTTCACTATAGCACAAATAAAAACTATTCAGTAAAAATAAATCTACATGTTTTTATATTTATAAATAAAAATATACATGCCTTGACAGTGGCGGAAATGATTTTAAACTAGCAGTTTTCTACGTTTTTATTATTTTCCTTGAAAATATCCGATAGGATATTTTCAATATCTGCAAGTTTATATTCAAGTATATACATATTTCAATATGTATATACTTGTCAATAAGGGCTTCAATTTTATTGTTTTACACGTTTTTTTTTTTCTTTTTATTGTTTTCAGTCACGAAAAAGTTGTTACCTGGCCATGCAACCATGTTTAGCAAACCGTGTGCCTTCGCAAACGGATCGCGTACATTTGAGCATTGTTTTGAAGTAAGGTTTTTTTTTTATTTTTTTATTTTGAAGTATTTAATTCAGAATTTAATTTAGTTTTAGAATTTAATGAAAAATGTTTTTTTTTGGCTTTTATTGTTATAATTTTATTAAATGTATATGGGCATTTCCATTTCTGTGCGTGATTTTTTATATTTCTTTGTTTTAGCAATTAAAAGCTGGGACTTTATGCAATATGCATATTATTTTGATTTTCTTAAAGAACAATTATAACAAAAGTATTTTTATCATATTTTAGGCTATCTGAATAAATTAAATATACACATTTCACAATTTTATTTTTTTGAGTAATAATATCATTACATTTTGAAAAATATACAATTATTTTTAAAACGCCATACTCTAGCTAGAAAGAATTGATGACTGCCGTTTTTCATCGAAAATATATGAAATATGAGTCGCAGAAGTTTAATATTTCACTTGAAATACTCACTAGATATAACTATAAAAATAAAAATAACGTCATGAAATTGACAAATTTGCAACATCCGTGCGTGATCGTTTATAAACTGCATTTAAACGATTGCTGTGACTATGATTCATGGTACAATCCTGTAACTTTCTGGAATTCTTTACTAATGTTTAAAATATTATTAAAAAAAAGAAGTATACCGGTGAAACTTAAATTGTCCGAAGAAGTTAAGTTTATTTATCTTGTAACTAAAATAGAAGTTTTTCTGTTCCGTGCGTGATTCCATTTCAAACTTTATTTATTCTTTGTTAACATTACTAATTCTTACTATTTTTGTTTACAAAATATTTATATTGATTAGAATTAAACGAGAGTAAATTGGAGATCGCTAGTTTTATTTTTATGAAAATGAAAGGAAAAATATATATGAGTTTCCCTGCGTGATTTTTTGGAAATGCCCATATCCATACATATATATATATATATATATATATATATATATATATATATATATATATATATATATATATATATATATATATATATATATATATATATATATATATATATATATATATATATATATATATATATATATATATATATATATATATATATATATATATATATATAATATATATACATATAATTAAAAATGCTGGTCCTGTATATATATATAAATATATATCAGCTCCTCAAAATCCTCTTTTTTAAAAACCTCCTTTAAAATCCTCTTAAAAGTTAAAAATATCATAAAATCTCCTCTTTAACTCCTCTTTTTTATTATTTTTTATTTCTTGATGGTAGTATAATGCTCAAAATTCATGATCTGCAAAATGCGTAAAGTCTGAAATGAGAATTGCGCTGTAAAAAAACAATTTTAGCAAATCCATGTCATCTAACAAATAATGACATTGTTGACCCCTGTCCAAACCCCAGTTATATGGAAACAGGCATTAAACCTTGAAAAAAAAATCCTCCAAAATCCTCTATTTTTATTCAAAATTTTGTAATTTTGCGAAAAAAATCCTCTAAATTAAATGCAAAATCTCCTCTAAAATCCTCTAATATATATATATATATATATACATATATATATATATATATATATATATATATATATATATATATATATATATATATATATATATATATATATATATATATATATATATATATATATATATAGGGCTGGTGCGAATAGGCGTCATGGGGGGAGATGCCTTTACACCTTTTGCTGACTAGAAAAAAAAAAAGAAAAAAGAAAGCGTGTTAACAATAAAATAACAGTAACAAAACTTTTACAATCAAGAAAACCCAGATATATACCGGTAACAAGATAGCAATAAACCGTGTATAATATATCACTTTTAACATAAACCCCTATGTTGACTTGGTCAACTAAGAGTACAAATATTTTAAATACCGTAAATTTTTGCCTGTGCTCGCTGCCTGTCTGGTCGGCTGCTTACAAATTGCCCTGCACGTTTCACCAGCAACAATCACACCTGGTTTATTTACTGTTACTAATCTATTTTTATTTTTTAGTTATTTCGTTTGATTTGTTGGTAATTTTATAAGGTATCAATTTTTGAATAGGTTGGAATCAGGTTGATCTAATTCCTTCTTTAGATAAAACTTGCAAATGAGCTCCTCGTACTTTTCCATCAGTTCCTCTGTTAAGTTCCAAAACTTTTTCCATACGCCATTGACTTTTTGGAATTTTGGTAAAATTTCGTATAAGAGCAACATTTACTACTAGCTGTTCGGTATATGAAGTTTTATTAAGCGTATAAATGTTTAAGTTCATTAATATAAGAACATGAAAATCTTATCCAAAAATTAAATATTGTAGTTTTTATAAAAAATTTTCTTTTTTAAAATATATTTAGGTAGTATATGGAACAAATTAGCTCAGAATGTAGTTGATGCACTGTGCACTTTTTTAAAAAACTCGTTTAAAATGCTGCTTCGGCTGCAACAATGTCCATTGTCAGCATAGGAAAGCCTGATGTGCTTCCCTTCATCAATTCAATCAAGAAGTTGTATTAATTACTGTAATAAAAAAATTAAAAAATATTTATATATATATATATATATATACATATATGAATTCCATTAAATTTATTATGAATATTTTGTTCAAACATTAAATGGTATAGTGTTAACGCTTACTCAGTATCGTCCTCGTATATGTAGAATAGTGGGCGACTGTTTGTCACGGATTCCGTTTGACATAGTATCGTTTCTAGTTCTTTGTAAGATAAATACACTAAATATCTTCTTTATTGTAATTAACAGACTTAGCTAAACGCTTGTGAAAACTGCAAAACCAGGGGGAAGATGGTAAAATAATCTTCTGTTGCACACCATTTTTACATAAAATTTCAACTTATTTAGATATAAAGTCTTTAAAATTATTGGAAATAATAAGATCAGAAAAACCTCTTTCTGCTGCAAAACGCTTATGAAGGCCGGAATTTTCATGTCAGGTGTTAGTTGCTCGACTAGACGCGCAAGTCAATAGCAAAACATAGACCTTGCAGGCAGCGTCCTTATTAACTGTTTTTATAAATATAGGTCTTGCATAATCCAAACCAATTGATTGAAATGAATATTAACTAAACTATTAACTCAAATATCGGGCAAAACGAGCTGCTAGGTTGTAACAATGTTCTTCCTTTGAAGTTCTTGCATTTTACACATTGTCTAATAATACTTTTTATCGTTAATCCTCCTTTAATTTCCAGAATTGAAAACGTACTTCATTCAATGTCGATTTGATTCCATGATGTAAGACTTGTCGATTTGATTCCATTATGTAAAACCAACTTTCTTTGCCACGTAAGAGTCATTTGCTGTAAAGTTTAAGTTTCAAAGAAAAACATTTTCAAATCTTCTTGTAATCGTAGTAGTTTATCTTCATCATAAAATAACTTTAATGAATTTTTAAGCTTGTTAAATTTGTTTATTGTTTCGTAAAATTCTCTACTTGTTTGTTTAATCTTAGCTTTTTAATTGTTATTAACAAATTAGTAATAAATCAAATACATATCCAGTACTAAAGATGAATTTTTCAAATGAACTAAATATACATGCATCGTTAACACTACTCAAATTTGGTAGTAAGTTGAAAACAACATTAAAAACAACTACATTTTCTCCTTTTTCACACACAGACTTAGTATCAACTTGAAACATGCTTTAAATTCATTGTCTTTTTTATTCATTATTAACGAAAACTCTGGTCCTTTTAACAAATGTTCTAAATCAAAAAAACTACTTATGCATGGAGGAAAATCAGCTGGGTTCAACTCTTCATTCATGTGATTTCATTTTTTTCTATCAACAACTTTTCTAATGGCATTCACTCTATTCTCCTCCCATGATTTCCACAATGTCTTCTTACACTTAATTCAATGCCACCTCTGAGTCATACCAGCAACTAACATCATTATATTGCACTCACCCATTTGAACCTCTTCACACTTCCTCTACAAAACTGCTATGTAACACACAACCTAATGGCTCTAGTCTAGAAATACTTGAGTTTTTTAAGAGCTTTAAAATTGAAAACATCCTATTCACTCTAAAATATGTTTATTCAACTGCATATATATTAATGGACAAAAAAACAACTTCAAACTGTCACATAATCCATGCAACTTAACAGGCTTACTACTCTCCTTAACACTCACAAACACAAACCTAGAATTTAAGAAGCAGTACTTTTAAGTAAGAAGCACTTTTATAGAAATGTATGTATGTATGTATTTATATATATGTATATATATATATATATATATATATATATATTTATATATATATATATATATATATATATATATATATATTATATATATATATATATATATATATATATATATATATATATATATATATATATATATATATTAAATATATATATATATATATATATATATATGATATTGCAGATAGTTTTGAAAAAATAATAGTTTTTTGTTGCAGTTTATTAAGATTTATTAACTTGCATCTGTTTAATGAATGATATTCAGTTTGTACTTTATACTAATCTACTTTATGTATTTACTTATAGAAGATGCGCATTGGTTGGTATAAAATATTTTCAAACATTAAATAAAGATATATTTGGTTTTCAACGATCATTGCACAGTGAAGAGTATATAAAGCAAGCTATAGATTACATATTTTAAAATAAATGATAAGAACTTTTTTTTACCAAAATAGTTTTAAACGATGATAGTGATTTATTATGTTTACACTTGATATGAAAGGTTTTAAACGTTAATGGAGATTTTTTATGTTTACATTTGTTTAAATTAGATGGTGTTCAATTAGGAAAATCCAAAAAAGTGTTTGTTTCAAAAATAGATTTAGAAATGCTGCATTCTGAAGGTAGTTTACAAGTTTTATGTATTTGTGCTGTTTGAAATGTTGGCAATATGTAATGCAAGGTTTCTTAACTTGCTTTCGACCATTAACAGTAGAAGAAAAGCAACTTAAAGAAATCGCACAAGTTATAATAAAGCCAAAAGCTAAAGATTTACATGGAGCATGCTTATAGGCTGCTAACAAAGCTAGATTTAATTTTTCAATGGACTACGAAAAAATGTATTTTGCTTTTGTCAATTATAAATTTTTTTAACTTAGTTACTTTTTCTATAACATATATATTTATTTATTCATATATATATATATATATATATATATATATATATATATATATATATATATATATATATATATATATATATATATATATATATATATATATATATATATATATATATATATATGATATTGCAGATAGTTTTAAAAAATAATAGTTTTTTGTTGCAGTTTATTAAGATTTATTAACTTGCATCTGTTTAATGAATGATATTCAGTTTGTACTTTATACTAATCTACTTTATGTATTTACTTATAGGAGATGCGCATTGGTTAGTATAAAATATTTTCAAACATTAAATAAAGATATATTTGGTTTTCAACGATCATTGCACAGTAAAGAGTATATAAAGCAAGCTATAGATTAAATATTTTAAAATAAATGATAAGAACTTTTTTTTACCAAAATAGTTTTAAACGATGATAGTGATTTATTATGTTTACACTTGATATCAAAGGTTTTAAATGTTAATGGAGATTTTTTATGTTTACATTTGTTTAAATTAGATGGTGTTCAATTAGGAAAATCCAAAAATGCGTTTGTTTCAAAAATAGATTTAGAAATGCTGCATTCTGAAGGTAGTTTTCAAGTTTTATGTATTTGTGCTGTTTGAAATGTTGGCATTATGTAAAGCAAGGTTTCTTAACTTGCTTTCGACCATTAACAGTAGAAGAAAAGCAACTTAAAGAAATCGCACAAGTTATAATAAAGCCAAAAGCTAAAGATTTACATGGAGCATGCTTATATGCTGCTAACAACGCTAGATTTACTTTTTCAATGGACTACGAAAAAATGTATTTTGCTTTTGTCAATTATAAATTTTTTCAACTTAGTTACTTTTTTTATAACATATATATTTATTTATTCATATATATATATATATATATATATAATATATATATATATATATATATATATATATATATATATATATATATATATATATATATTTATATTTATATATATATATATATATATATATATATATATATATATATATATATATATATATATATATGTATATAAAATATATATATATATATATATATATATATGATATTGCATATAGTTTTGAAAAAATAATAGTTTTTTGTTGCAGTTTATTAAGATTTATTAACTTGCATCTGTTTAATGAATGATATTCAGTTTGTACTTTATACTAATCTACTTTATGTATTTACTTATAGGAGATGCGCATTGGTTAGTATAAAATATTTACAAACATTATATGAAGATATATGTGGTTTTCAACGATCATTGCACAGTAAAGAGTATATAAAGCAAGCTATAGATTAAATGTTTTAAAATAAATGATAAGAACTTTTTTTTACCAAAATAGTTTTAAACGATGATAGTGATTTATTATGTTTACACTTGATATGAAAGGTTTTAAACGTTAATGGAGATTTATTATGTTTACATTTGTTTAAATTAGATGGTGTTCAATTAGGAAAATCCAAAAATGTGTTTGTTTCAAAAATAGATTTAGAAATGCTGCATTCTGAAGGTAGTTTACAAGTTTTATGTATTTGTGCTGTTTGAAATGTTGGCAATATGTAAAGCAAGGTTTCTTAACTTGCTTTCGACCATTAACAGTAGAAGAAAAGCAACTTAAAGAAATCGCACAAGTTATAATAAAGCCAAGAGCTAAAGATTTACATGGAGCATGCTTATATGCTGCTAACAAAGCTAGATTTACTTTTTCAATGGACTACGAAAAAATGTATTTTGCTTTTGTCAATTATAAATTTTTTTAACTTAGTTACTTTTTCTATAACATATATATTTATTTATTCATATATATATATATATATATATATATATATATATATATATATATATATATATATATATATATATATATATATATATATATATATATATATATATATATATATATGTATATATATATATATATATATATATATATATATATATATATATATATATATATATATATATATATATATATATATATATATGATATTGCAGATAGTTTTGAAAAAATAATAGTTTTTTGTTGCAGTTTATTACGATTTATTAACTTGCATCTGTTTAATGAATGATATTCAGTTTGTACTTTATACTAATCTACTTTATGTATTTACTTATAGGAGATGCGCATTGGTTAGTATAAAATATTTTCAAACATTAAATAAAGATATATTTGGTTTTCAACGATCATTGCACAGTAAAGAGTATATAAAGCAAACTATAGATTACATATTTTAAAATAAATGATAAGAACTTTTTTTTACCAAAATAGTTTTAAACGATGATAGTGATTTATTATGCTTACACTTGATATGAAAGGTTTTAAACGTTAATGGAGATTTATTATGTTTACATTTGTTTAAATTAGATGGTGTTCAAATTGGAAAATCCAAAAATGCGTTTGTTCCAAAAATAGATTTAGAAATGCTGCATTCTGAAGGCAGTTTACAAGTTTTATGTATTTGTGCTGTTTAAAATGTTGGGAATATGTAAAGCAAGGTTTCTTAACTTGCTTTTGACCATTAACAGTAGAAGAAAAGCAACTTGAAGAAATCGCACAAGTTATATTAAAGCCAAAAGCTAAAGATTTACATGGAGCATGCTTATAGGCTGCTAACAAAGCTAGATTTAATTTTTCAATGGACTACGAAAAAATGTATTTTGCTTATGTCAATTATAAATTTTTTTAACTTAGTTACTTTTTCTATAACATATATTTATTTATTCATATATATATATATATATATATATATATATATATATATATATATATATATATATATATATATATATATATATATATATATATATAGATAGATATAGATAGATATATATGATATTGCAAATAGTTTTGAAAAAATAATAGTTTTGTGTTGCAGTTTATTAAGATTTATTAACTTGCATCTGTTTAATGAATGATATTCAGTTTGTACTTTATACTAATCTACTTTATTTATTTACTTATAGGAGATGCGCATTAGTTAGTATAAAATATTTACAAACATTATATGAAGATATATGTGGTTTTCAACGATCATTGCACAGTAAAGAGTATATAAAGCAAGCTATAGATTAAATATTTTAAAATAAATGATAAGAACTTTTTTTTACCAAAATAGTTTTAAACGATGATAGTGATTTATTATGTTTACACTTGATATGAAAGGTTTTAAACGTTAATGGAGATTTTTTATGTTTACATTTGTTTAAATTAGATGGTGTTCAATTAGGAAAATCCAAAAATGTGTTTGTTTCAAAAATAGATTTAGAAATGCTGCATTCTGAAGGTAGTTTTCAAGTTTTATGTATTTGTGCTGTTTGAAATGTTGGCAATATGTAAAGCAAGGTTTCTTAACTTGCTTTCGACCATTAACAGTAGAAGAAAAGCAACTTAAAGAAATCGCACAAGTTATAATAAAGCCAAGAGCTAAAGATTTACATGGAGCATGCTTATATGCTGCTAACAAAGCTAGATTTACTTTTTCAATGGACTACGAAAAAATGTATTTTGCTTTTGTCAATTATAAATTTTTTTAACTTAGTTACTTTTTCTATAACATATATATTTATTTATTCATATATATATATATATATATATATATATATATATATATATATATATATATATATATATATATATATATATATATATATATATATATATGTATATATATATATATATATATATATATATATATATATATATATATATATATATATATATATATATATATATATATATGATATTAAAGATAGTTTTGAAAAAATAATAGTTTTTTGTTGCAGTTTATTACGATTTATTAACTTGCATCTGTTTAATGAATGATATTCAGTTTGTACTTTATACTAATCTACTTTATGTATTTACTTATAGGAGATGCGCATTGGTTAGTATAAAATATTTTCAAACATTAAATAAAGATATATTTGGTTTTCAACGATCATTGCACAGTAAAGAGTATATAAAGCAAGCTATAGATTACATATTTTAAAATAAATGATAAGAACTTTTTTTTACCAAAATAGTTTTAAACGATGATAGTGATTTATTATGTTTACACTTGATATGAAAGGTTTTAAACGTTAATGGAGATTTTTTATGTTTACATTTGTTTAAATTAGATGGTGTTCAATTAGGAAAATCCAAAAATGTGTTTGTTTCAAAAATAGATTTAGAAATGCTGCATTCTGAAGGTAGTTTTCAAGTTTTATGTATTTGTGCTGTTTGAAATGTTGGCAATATGTAAAGCAAGGTTTCTTAACTTGCTTTCGACCATTAACAGTAGAAGAAAAGCAACTTAAAGAAATCGCACAAGTTATAATAAAGCCAAAAGCTAAAGATTTACATGGAGCATGCTTATATGCTGCTAACAAAGCTAGATTTACTTTTTCAATGGACTACGAAAAAATGTATTTTGCTTTTGTCAATTATAAATTTTTTTAACTTAGTTACTTTTTCTATAACATATATATTTATTTATTCATATATATATATATATATATATATATATATATATATATATATATATATATATATATATATATATATATATATATATATATATATATATATATATTATATATATATATATATATATATATATATATATATATGTATATATATATATATATATATATATATATATATATATATATATATATATATATATATATATATATATATATATATATATATATGATATTAAAGATAGTTTTGAAAAAATAATAGTTTTTTGTTGCAGTTTATTACGATTTATTAACTTGCATCTGTTTAATGAATGATATTCAGTTTGTACTTTATACTAATCTACTTTATGTATTTACTTATAGGAGATGCGCATTGGTTAGTATAAAATATTTTCAAACATTAAATAAAGATATATTTGGTTTTCAACGATCATTGCACAGTAAAGAGTATATAAAGCAAGCTATAGATTACATATTTTAAAATAAATGATAAGAACTTTTTTTTACCAAAATAGTTTTAAACGATGATAGTGATTTATTATGTTTACACTTGATATGAAAGGTTTTAAACGTTAATGGAGATTTTTTATGTTTACATTTGTTTAAATTAGATGGTGTTCAATTAGGAAAATCCAAAAATGTGTTTGTTTCAAAAATAGATTTAGAAATGCTGCATTCTGAAGGTAGTTTACAAGTTTTATGTATTTGTGCTGTTTGAAATGTTGGCAATATGTAAAGCAAGGTTTCTTAACTTGCTTTCGACCATTAACAGTAGAAGAAAAGCAACTTAAAGAAATCGCACAAGTTATAATAAAGCCAAGAGCTAAAGATTTACATGGAGCATGCTTATATGCTGCTAACAAAGCTAGATTTACTTTTTCAATGGACTACGAAAAAATGTATTTTGCTTTTGTCAATTATAAATTTTTTTAACTTAGTTACTTTTTCTATAACATATATATTTATTTATTCATATATATATATATATATATATATATATATATATATATATATATATATATATATATATATATATATATATATATATATATATATATATATATATATATATATGTATATATATATATATATATATATATATATATATATATATATATATATATATATATATATATATATATATATATATATATATATATGATATTAAAGATAGTTTTGAAAAAATAATAGTTTTTTGTTGCAGTTTATTACGATTTATTAACTTGCATCTGTTTAATGAATGATATTCAGTTTGTACTTTATACTAATCTACTTTATGTATTTACTTATAGGAGATGCGCATTGGTTAGTATAAAATATTTTCAAACATTAAATAAAGATATATTTGGTTTTCAACGATCATTGCACAGTAAAGAGTATATAAAGCAAGCTATAGATTACATATTTTAAAATAAATGATAAGAACTTTTTTTTACCAAAATAGTTTTAAACGATGATAGTGATTTATTATGTTTACACTTGATATGAAAGGTTTTAAACGTTAATGGAGATTTTTTATGTTTACATTTGTTTAAATTAGATGGTGTTCAATTAGGAAAATCCAAAAATGTGTTTGTTTCAAAAATAGATTTAGAAATGCTGCATTCTGAAGGTAGTTTTCAAGTTTTATGTATTTGTGCTGTTTGAAATGTTGGCAATATGTAAAGCAAGGTTTCTTAACTTGCTTTCGACCATTAACAGTAGAAGAAAAGCAACTTAAAGAAATCGCACAAGTTATAATAAAGCCAAAAGCTAAAGATTTACATGGAGCATGCTTATATGCTGCTAACAAAGCTAGATTTAATTTTTCAATGGACTACGAAAAAATGTATTTTGCTTTTGTCAATTATAAATTTTTTTAACTTAGTTACTTTTTTTATAACATATATATTTATTTATTCATATATATATATATATATATATATATATATATATATATATATATAGATAGATTTAGATAGATATATATGATATTGCAAATAGTTTTGAAAAAATAATAGTTTTGTGTTGCAGTTTATTAAGATTTATTAACTTGCATCTGTTTAATGAATGATATTCAGTTTGTACTTTATACTAATCTACTTTATTTATTTACTTATAGGAGATGCGCATTGGTTAGTATAAAATATTTACAAACATTATATGAAGATATATGTGGTTTTCAACGATCATTGCACAGTAAAGAGTATATAAAGCAAGCTATAGATTACATATTTTAAAATAAATGATAAGAACTTTTTTTTACCAAAATAGTTTTAAACGATGATAGTGATTTATTATGTTTACACTTGATATGAAAGGTTTTAAACGTTAATGGAGATTTTTTATGTTTACATTTGTTTAAATTAGATGGTGTTCAATTAAGAAAATCCAAAAATGTGTTTGTTTCAAAAATAGATTTAGAAATGCTGCATTCTGAAGGCAGTTTACAAGTTTTATGTATTTGTGCTGTTTGAAATGTTGGCAATATGTAAAGCAAGGTTTCTTAACTTGCTTTCGACCATTAACAGTAGAAGAAAAGCAACTTAAAGAAATCGCACAAGTTATATTAAAGCCAAAAGCTAAAGATTTACATGGAGCATGCTTATAGGCTGCTAACAAAGCTAGATTTAATTTTTCAATGGACTACGAAAAAATGTATTTTGCTTTTGTCAATTATAAATTTTTTTAACTTAGTTACTTTTTCTATAACATATATATTTATTTATTCATATATATATATATATATATATATATATATATATATATATATATTTATATATATATATATATATATATATATATATATATATATATATATATATATATATATATATATATATATATATATATATAGATAGATATAGATAGATATATATGATATTGCAAATAGTTTTGAAAAAATAATAGTTTTGTGTTGCAGTTTATTAAGATTTATTAACTTGCATCTGTTTAATGAATGATATTCAGTTTGTACTTTATACTAATCTACTTTATTTATTTACTTATAGGAGATGCGCATTGGTTAGTATAAAATATTTACAAACATTATATGAAGATATATGTGGTTTTCAACGATCATTGCACAGTAAAGAGTATATAAAGCAAGCTATAGATTAAATATTTTAAAATAAATGATAAGAACTTTTTTTTACCAAAATAGTTTTAAACGATGATAGTGATTTATTATGTTTACACTTGATATGAAAGGTTTTAAACGTTAATGGAGATTTATTATGTTTACATTTGTTTAAATTAGATGGTGTTCAATTAGGAAAATCCAAAAATGTGTTTGTTTTAAAATAGATTTAGAAATGCTGCATTCTGAAGGCAGTTTACATGTTTTATGTATTTGTGCTGTTTAAAATGTTGGGAATATGTAAAGCAAGGTTTCTTAACTTGCTTTTGACCATTAACAGTAGAAGAAAAGCAACTTGAAGAAATCGCACAAGTTATATTAAAGCCAAAAGCTAAAGATTTACATGGAGCATGCTTATAGGCTGCTAACAAAGCTAGATTTAATTTTCCTATGGACTACAAAAAAATGTATTTAGCTTTTGTCAATTATAAATTTTTTTAACTTAGTTACTTTTTCTATAACATATATATTTATTTATTCATATATATATATATATATATATATATATATATATATATATATATATATATATATATATATATATATATATATATATATATATATATATATATATATATATATATATATATATAGATAGATATAGATAGATATATATGATATTGCAAATAGTTTTGAAAAATAATAGTTTTGTGTTGCAGTTTATTAAGATTTATTAACTTGCATCTGTTTAATGAATGATATTCAGTTTGTACTTTATACTAATCTACTTTATTTATTTACTTATAGGAGATGCGCATTGGTTAGTATAAAATATTTACAAACATTATATGAAGATATATGTGGTTTTCAACGATCATTGCACAGTAAAGAGTATATAAAGCAAGCTATAGATTAAATATTTTAAAATAAATGATAAGAACTTTTTTTTACCAAAATAGTTTTAAACGATGATAGTGATTTATTATGTTTACACTTGATATGAAAGGTTTTAAACGTTAATGGAGATTTATTATGTTTACATTTGTTTAAATTAGATGGTGTTCAATTAGGAAAATCCAAAAATGTGTTTGTTTCAAAAATAGATTTAGAAATGCTGCATTCTGAAGGCAGTCTACAAGTTTCATGTATTTGTGCTGTTTAAAATGTTGGGAATATGTAAAGCAAGGTTTCTTAACTTGCTTTTGACCATTAACAGTAGAAGAAAAGCAACTTGAAGAAATCGCACAAGTTATATTAAAGCCAAAAGCTAAAGATTTACATGGAGCATGCTTATAGGCTGCTAACAAAGCTAGATTTAATTTTCCTATGGACTACAAAAAAATGTATTTAGCTTTTGTCAATTATAAATTTTTTTAACTTAGTTACTTTTTTTATAACATATATATTTATTTATTCATATATATATATATATATATATATATATATATATATATATATATATATATATATATATATATATATATATATATATATATATATATATATATATATATTAGATTACTCATAGTCTTAAAGAAATAATTATTTTTTGTTGGAGTTTATATAGAATTATTAACTTGCATCTGTTTTAATGAATGGTATTTAGTTTGTACTTTATAATAATCTGTTTTATGTATTTATATATAGGAGATGGAGGAGGTGCATATTGGTTAGTATAAAATGTTTACAAACATTATATGAAGATATGCGTGGTTTTCAACGATCATTGCACAGTACAGAGTATCTAAAGGAAGCTATAGATTGAATATTTTTAAATAAATGGTAAGTACTGTTTTTAACTAAAAAAGCTTTAAATGATGATAATGATTTATTATGTTTACACTTGATATGAAAGGTTTTAAAAAATAATGAAAATTTATTATGTTTACATTTATTTAAATTAGCTTGTGTTTAATTTGGAAAACACATAAACCCTTTGTTAAGCTAACAAAGCAGGTGGGGCATAAAACACCTAAGTCAATAAAAATAATACCATAATAGTTTTTCTGGTTCCTTTTGATATCTGTATTATATTTTTTAAAAATATCTTTAAGGTTATTTTTGTAGCCTGATAAATCTTATTTAAGATTATATTTTGTTTTATTGCAATAAATGAAATGAAATGGTCAGCCCTACCTATTTAAAGGCATGCTGTGTATATTTGAGAGTTAGGAGGGGAAGGGTTTGGGTTAAAAAAATCTATAGTTTTTCAAATTTTAATTTAAGTCTAAATAAAAACAATGTCAAAAAGCAATGGTTATGGTAAACAATCTCATCGTGAAGTTTTTTTTGTTGGAAAAAAATCGGAACAATACCTGACACACAATTGCCAGCTTAAAGAACTGTATTTTAATATTACCATTACAGAGATCTTATGCTAAAAGCTGATTTTCCAAACATTTGATCAGTTAGTATAGCTTCATGTCCACTTAGTGATTTCTTTACTGCACAATGTGCTGAAATAGGTGATTGTCTCCAAAAATGTTTACCATGCCATCCTTACAAGGTGAAGAAAATTTGACAAAAAGCAGGAATTCCTTTTGTTAATACTGACAAGCATATCAGGTTTGTAATATTTAAAATTGCTTTTTAATTTTTAGTTTCATCCAGTTTAAAATTGATATTATACAAGTAACAATTATAAAGTCATAACATTTTATATATTTATAATAAATTACAACAGTTTTAATGCATTCTTTTACTTTTGTTTTAGAGACAAGATTGTTGACTTAAAAAACAAGAGAAAAGATTTAAACAAACACAGGAACGGTTTAAGTAAAAATTTAGTCTTAAAAAGAGAAACCTTTTCAAGAATGCTAGAGGAAGTATTCGATGTAAGTCAAAACAATTCTGAACATGCTATTATGAAAGATAAAACTAAAGATTTAAAAACTAGAAGAGAGGATGTCGATTTTCTTAACGACCAGAAAGGAGCGCATGTTCAGAAAATGTTGGGTAAAGATAAAATTTCACAAAATATTGTAAAAAATAAATGAAAAAGAGAAATGAAAAAAAAAAAAAGTATAAAAGAGTCCATAAGAAAACAGAAAGAGTTGGTTACTGAGAAATTCGATGACACAATGAAAAAAAACATATTTTAGATAATGACCAAGATGAACAGTATCTACAGCTTTCTATAAAAATTAAAAAATCCAATGCTGTTCCTCTTATAGTTCCTAAAAATATAGGAAAAGATTTAGCTCCAACAGCATCACGAATATGGAATAAGTTTGACTGCACTGAATGCAACTCTTGCTTCTCTTATAAATAACAGTTCTGGAACAACAGATGATTTTTCTATTTCTAAACGAAGTATTTTGAGGCAGAAAAAATCAGGTATAAGTACAACTGCCTGTAAAATTAAAGACAACTTTATTATATTGGCAAAGGCTAAAAGTCTTACCATGCATTTTGACTCCAAAATTATGGTAGAATTGAGAGAAATTGGTAAAGAAAAAGTTGAAAGATTAGCTGTGCTAATCAGTTCAAAAGATCTTTCAGAATCTCAACTTTTGGGTATTTTAATTGTGAAAGATGGCACTGCTGAGTCTCTTGGGAAAGCAATCAAAAAAACTTTACAAGACTGGGAGCTATTTAACTATGTTGATTGTCTGTCTTTTGACACCACAGTCACAAATACTGGTTGGCTAAAAGGAGTCTGTATTATTGAAAATCAAAGCTTTGGAAAATCCAAAATTAAGGAGTTTTAAAGTGGCTATCACAACCAATTTTACTTTTATTTCATTAACCTTTGGTATCAAGAAAATTTTAAAGGTTAGTCAGAATCGGTTGTGTATATAAATCACTTTGTAAATCAAATTTAAATACTCTACATTTAAAAAATCCAGATGTTAATTTCTTATCAATAAAACAAAATTGATTTTCTTCTAGATAAAAGCATGAATTTTTCAGCCTCACTCAAATATTTAGTTTTTGAGATTTTGTATTAAATAAATATTGTAAATTTTGATACTGTTTTGTAATTTGAACAACCAGAAAAAAGGAGTTATTTTTTTTCCACAAAAAAGGAGTTATTGAAAATCAAAGCTTTTCCTCTCCACTGCTCTTATTGAGCAGTGGAGAGGAAAAGCTTTGATTTGGATGGCTTGTCGTCATCATGTCTACGAATTACATATAAAGGTAAATATTGAAAAGAAGTCATAAAATATTTTTATATTTATTTATTTAATTAATGTTTCTCGATGAATTTAATAATGATTCACCTTATTATTAAAAGTTAGTTAAGTGATTTGAAATAAATATATTTTAGCACTTTTCAAGTTTTCTTACTGGAGTTAAAACAAGTGGACCAAAGACTGAGTTATTTGAAAAGCTAAAGTGTAATTGGAAATCAATTCTTAAAAAGAAGATAAGATTGGTTTGATTGTCCTATTTAGATTAATCTGTTTGATTATAAGTTTTAATAATAAACTTTATTTTTTACTTTAGACTTCTGAATCATTAACATTTCTTCAAAATTGCCTCGATAATGATATATTTCCAAGAAATGACTAAAAGTATTTTATACAGTTAGCAGTTCTTTGGTTAGGTGGCAAAGTAAAAGATTTTCACTTTAGATTTCCAATGGCTTCCCATCATGCCACGTTTATGGCACAGGGCATTTATTATTTAACATACGACATTCTTCAGCCACAATTCAGTAATTTATGTCCTGATATAATATCATTACAAGAGGAAAAGCTGATTCATGAAATTGGTTCATTTACAGCACTATTTTATGTTCCATGGTTTATTAAAGCTCCCATCCCTGCCATAGCACCTTCTTTAGATCTAAAAGCCATTAATGAAATGATACAATATTCTGAATTATGTCTTAAACCAGCAGAGGCCGTACTAAAGTCACTTGAAAAACATAATTGGTATTTAAATGAAAGATTTGTGGTCAGCAAGACACAGCTGATAAATGCTTACCTGTAGATCAGCTACATAAATTAGCTCTTAAATTAGCTCAAACAGCAAAGCCTACCAGTCATAAAATAGGAAAACTAAGTTCAGAAATTTTTACTGACAATGAAAAAAAAAATAACAAAAAGCTGGTTTTTCTTTGATTTACTTAAGATGACATTACATGAGACAGAATGGCTGAAAATCAGTTAATCAAACTGGGAAACATGTTCAGGTTATATAAGATTTAAAAATTATATCATGGTCTTCTTGTTGTAAATGACAGTGCAGAACGTGCAGTTAAACTTAGTCAAGACTTTATTGAAACTTTCAGAAAACAAAGAAGATAACCAAGCTAATTTACTGGTTGTTGCAGATCATCGTCTAAAATTTCAGACAACAGAAAAAATATCTTGGTTGCAACCTTTAAAATAACTTTTCTTCTCAAATAAATACAAATGTAAAAAAAAAATTTATTTAATATTGTAAGAAAAAAATTTTACTCCCCCCCCCCTACCTCCCAAATATACACTGCATGTCTTTAAATGTGTAGGGCTGACCATTTCATTTCATATTTTGCAATAAAACAAAATATAATTTTAAATAAGATTTATAAGGCTGCATAAATAACTTTAAAGATATCTTTAAAATATTTGTAAGTGACCCAGCCCCTCTCATTATTTACAAAAAGTAGACATTTTTTAAAATTTCGGACTGCTGAGACCGACCATAGAAGTACCCATAAAAAAAAAATTATATATTTTTAATACAGATATCAAAAAGAACCAGAAAAACTATTATGGTATTTTTTTTATTTACTTAAGTGTTTTATGCCCCACCCAAATATATATATAAAAAAATAAAAAAAAAAATATATATATATATATATATATATATATATATATATAAATATATATATTTATAACTATATATATATATATATATAAATATATATATATATATATATATATAAATATATATATATATATATATATATATATATATATATATATATATATATATATATATATATATATATATATATATATATATATATAATTATATGTATAAATATATATCTATAAATATATGTATGTATATATATATATATATATATCTATATATATACATATCTATATATATATAATATATATATATATATATATAATATATATATTTATAAATATATATATATATATATATATAAATATATATATATAAATATGTATATATATAATTATATATATATAAATATATATATATATATATATATAAATATGTATATATATATATATATATATCTATATATATACATATCTATATATATATATATATATATATATATATATATATATATATATATATATATATATATATATATATATATATATATATATATATATATATATATATATATATATATATATGAGATAACTGATAGTTTTGAAGATATAATGATTTTTTGTTGCAGTTTATTAACATTTATCAACTTGCATCTGTTTTAATGAATGATATTTAGTTTGTACTTCAAAATAATCTAATTTATGTATTTACTTATAGGAGATGGAGGAGGTGCACATTGGTTAGTATAAAATGTTTACAAACATTATTTGAAGATATGGGTGGTTTTCAACGATCATTGCACAGTACAGAATATCTAAAGCAAGCTATAGATTAAATATTTTAGAATGAATGATTACTGTATTTTACTAAAGTAGTTTTAAATGATGATAGTGATTTATTATGTTTACCATTAATATGATTGGTTTTAAACGATAATGGAGATTTATTATGTTTACATTTGTTCAAGTTAACTTGTGTTCAATTAGGAAAACACATAAAAGCGCTTGTTCCATAAATAGATTTAGAAATGCTGCATACTGAAGGCAGTTTACAAGTTTTATGTATTTGTGCTGTTCGGAAAAGTTGGGAATTTATAAAATAATTTTTTTCATTTGGCTTAAGACCATTAACAGATGAAGAAAAACAACTTAAAGAAATCACACAAGTTAAATTAAAACCAGAAGCTAAAGCATAACATGGAGCATGCTTATAGACTGCTAACAAATTTGGATTTTTCCTATGGATTATGAAAAAATGTTTTTTGCGTTTTTTAATTTAATTTTTTTGTAACTAGTTATTTTTTCTATAACATATATATATATATATATATATATATATATATATATATATATATATATAATATATATATATATATATATATATATATATATATTTATATATATTTATCTATCTATCTATATATATATATATATATATATATATATATATATATATATATATATATATATATATATATATATAGCCATTTTTTTTAATAAAAAAATTCCTAATTCACTGGATTAAGGCATTATTTGAGGTCATAAAATTCACTTAAATTTTTATTTTATAAAGACATAACTTTTTTATAAAGACATTAACTTTTGTAAATTCCTCTAATTTTAATAGTTACTGTAAATTAATTTAAATGTTATTCAACGGCTTTTTTTTTATTACTATAAAGGAATGTTAATTTAATATTTTTTTTCAACTTTTAAATAATTAAATTTAATACTGCTTTTTTATAAATGTTTGATATTAACAAACTTTTTTCTTTTCTCAACATTTGCCAAAATAAATTAAAATATGTTAATTTTTTGAGTTTTTAAAATGATTATTTTATAATTTTCTAATTGCAGCCTTGCAACTACAAATGATTCTTTATTTGATAACAATAGCGAGTAACGAATGAAAAAAACAAAAACAAAAAACAACTTTTTAAATTTTTGTTAAAATCATTAATTTTATAATACATGTTTCGACTATATCATAGCCATCATCAGTGAAAACATATAAAAATGCTTAAATTAAATCATTTAAAATTAAGTTGAACTAATTAGAGACCTAATAATAAAAAATACAATAAAAATCCAATTAAAAATGTAACAAATGTTTTAAAATAGTTAAAAAGTAATAGAAACGGTAATGTTAAAAGGAACTAGATTAAAATTGTCATTTTTACATGGTTCATTTGTTTATTAATAGTCGGTTTTTCCTATTATATGTACATGCTTTTTTTGAGTTTTAATATAAATTTGTTGGAGGGTGAATCCATGATTGAAAAACTAGCATAATTAAAACTTCAATGAATAATAACAGAGATTTTAGAGAGTTTTATATGTCTGTTTTTTGCCCACTAAAGCCAAAGAAAACTTTTTTTGATTGTAAAAATAGGTTTTAGTTTTCCGATATTTGTCGACTGCCAACTATAGATCTAATTTTGCCCACTCCAGTTCCAATTTGCTTACGAAAGAAATTTGTAGGGGACTTGACTTCCTTTTACGCCCCCTTCCCCCCTCAGGACGGCCTTTATTGGATACATAGAAATTAGAGGAACATATTTGATTCAACAAGTTGGAGAAACTTATTGGAAACATATATAACTTGTTTTACATTTATTAAATTAAAATTTAAAAAAAGCAGATAGTAATATATTGGAATGTATATATGCTTTAACAAAAAACTATATACTTATATAAATATATATGTATGTATATATATTTATATATATATATATATATATATATATATGTAATGTTTTGGGTTACGATTAACCTTTTTTTTTTAAATTAGTGCGACGCTAAACTAATCAAAAGTTTATTGCGTTCTCCTACAGAAAAATGAAGACACTGGTAAACCAAGCAATATGCAGAAATAAACTTAAAATTAAAAGAAAAAAAATAATACAAGAGATAAGGTAGATTTTAATTAATAAAAGAGTAAGAGATAGTCCATAAAGTACGTACGCCCAGATGGGTCTGCAAATGGCGTATATGAGATGAGGAAGTGGTCAATTGAGAAAGTAAGGAAACACAAATAAAATAAAAATATCATAAAATGTGGGGTAGGTGAGTTAAAAGCGTAGGTACTTTTACAGAAGTGGAGGATACACAAAAAAAGTTTAGCATAGTGCGGGGGAGGGGGGATAAAAATGGTGGATATAAAAGCGTACGTATTTCATGGATAATGTATTGAATATAACATATATTTTAAGTTACTTAAATTGAAATCTTAAAATATTAGATAGTAATATTTTAGAAAAAAATATATTTTTAAATGAAAAAAAATATAAACATAATGCATAAAGTCACGATTCCCTCTTATTTACGTAAGTTCAAATAAGTTATCAGTTTGATTGTCATTATGCATTAAATCGTTTGCTTGTTTAAATAATTTTTTTCTTATTGAATTCATTGTTTATACTCTTCTTTAAATTGTAAGAACAGAATCTACTAATTTTAAAAGTATTTAGGACGGCAATTAATTCTTTGAATGTTTTGTAGAGCTTGTAATAAAACGTTAAACTTTTGAAAATTATAAGTAACCGATGACCGCAATTTCATAAAATTAATTTCAAAATGGTATCAAATTTTTAGCGACTAAATTTATTAAGAAAAAGTAACTAGTTAAAAAAAAATTTATTTGAAAAAAGGGTACCGCAAAATCTTGTCTAATCTTAATACAAAAATTTTTAACTTAAGATCTCTAAGTTTTATAATCTTTATTTAAAATCCCTTAACTTATTGAAATCCCTTAACTTGCTTAACATATTCTCTTAAATATTATCTCTTAACAAACATCTTAAAAATAAATCAAATAATAAAAACACTCAACTGATTATCTTCTAACGAACAAATTCTCCACGAATAGTTTCTTTGTTAATACTAAATTAAAAAATACTCAAAATGTAATCATGAAATCGCAATAAAATAATCAACAATCGCAACAAATTTTATAAATATAAAAAAAAACCTTAGCTGTTTGATCTTTAAATATTTTTTTAATCTTCGGCTCCATAAAGAGCTTAATACTGTTGGCTCGATCAAAAGATTAATGCTGTGAGATAGGTGTTACCTCTAAAACAAAACTACAATGTGATCATTACTTCTTATATATTTCAGCAAAATAACATAATTGGATTACCATAAAATACAAGAATCCGTTTGTCCAAAAGCGCAAGATAGAAAGAGTTGATATACAAAGTACATTTTTTCATAATTCATAGGAAAATCCAATTATCCAAAAGCACAAGATATAAAAAGTCACAATGCGAGGCGTTGCAAGAGAGTATGAGGTCAGCGCACGCCGGATTTTATTAAGTAGTATAATTTCGCGGGCATGCGCAAGAAGCTAAGCTGGCTGGTGCGTGAGCGAGCTAACTCCTTTATGACGATGATCAGCGAGACTTTTGTTTTCCACCGACTAGTGTTGTGGCAGTGAAAACGTAGTACTAAAAAAAACTAAGAATACTGTTGAATAAAGTTGTTCTTATTTAACAAACTTCTGGTCTTGCATAATATTCAATGATTTTTACCTATATAAATACCTAAAAAGTTTATACAACAAGTTTTTTTTTTTTTTAAATATCATTTAAGTCATCAAAATATCAAGGCATCTAATTTTAAAAGTAGATGTTTTTGTGGCAAATCATAAAATCTGTTTAAATTTTATCAAGACTTAAAAGACAACCGAAAATTTAAACTAGTTTTATTGTTTTTTAGTTTTATGAAATAGTAGTAGGGAAACCTGTTGATCCTTGGCACTATGTGTACCTAGGCCACTAGGCTCGTTTAAAATATTCTCCCGGTATTAAATTTTACTGTCTATGGTATTCGGTACATCAGTATCGACTATTCAATGTGAAGTTAGTAACATACCGTCATTAAACTGGTGTTTGCATTTATCGACGTTAAAATTTTTTTATAGTATTTCTAATTTATTTTGAAGTCTGATAGTTTTGAACGTTTTATATTAGTCAAATACTTTTTATATGCTATGAGTTTTTTTATTTAACATGTGTCCAAGCAACAACAAAACTTAAGGGATGAGTAACCTAAAAACTATTTAAAATCCATCGTTTTGTTAAAGTTGGAGTAGTATTGTACTTCGGTCACTGTCGAAAAATTGTTCCTTGGTCAGTGGCCATGGTACAACCTGGATGTTATTAAAGAGAATGTTTTGCTAATTACTTTGCATTTTGTAACTTTGTTGTGATATACTACTTTTTTGACTGTTGTTTGATCTTAGTGCTAATTATATAATGTAAAATACAAACAGGGTAGGGATATTCCCTCGTGTAAACTTTAAAGATTTTATGATAACTGGAGCTTCTGGAGGCAGTATTGGAGGTCCCAACTCATCCTGTTAGTCAAGCGAGTCCATGTTTGTGAAACTGAATGAAAACATCTACACAGATGCTGATTTTATGCCCGCGTCCTGATCGGATGCGATAAGTCAACTTACTGAAAAATCACCTACCAGAATTGATAAAGTGCTCAATATTATTTTGATTTTGTTAAGAATTTCTAAGGTATTTTGTTAAATAATGTAATAGACCAAATAAAACAATTTTGGTCAAGAAAAATTAATTATTTACTTAAATTACTTTCAAATTCACAGTGTCCAAGGTATATCGCAGTACTGGCACAAGTACATAAGGTATGTCGTACCTTGGCCTTAAATACCATTTTTTTTAACTTTAAAATCTATGTACTAAGTAAGAAATATACATTTATATGTTTTTGTGGTGAGTACCCAAATAGTTGACCTTTCAAAATATGCAACTATGATTTGCGTGCTGTACGTCAAATCACAATGAAAAGTATATAGCTAAAAAACTGTCCTAGATGTAACAGGTTCTCCTAATACTTTGAGAATAAACTACATTTGTGTCATCAGAAAAAGCTACAACAGAATAATTTTATTTAATAAAATTTTTTCAACTGTTGTTTTAAATGATTTAATCATGGCAATGTTTTCTGTTTGTTAAAAATCATGTTCTATGTATCAAAGTGTTTAAAGAGAAGAAAAAAATTAATAAAAATATTTATCAAAAACTATTTATGAATATTTATTATAATGAAGATTAATGTTAAAGTGGAACTAATTATCTAATAACACTTCAATACGACATGGCACCACGCACCGTTAGTGAGATATTTGTATATCTGAACTCAGATTTGAACACATTCGAATGCAACTTTTTGAAGAATTTAGAAGAAATATGTTCGCACCCAAAAGATATTATAATACACAATTTAAACTCAATGAAAGAAAATGTAATAAGAAGTCTC